CAACATTTTTCTTGGAATTGACTACACTACTTTTGGAAAATATTATATCATCATCATCATCATATTCGACACTCATCTTAGCAAAAATTCTTTGCAATTTCTGAATGATTTAAAGAATCTGGAACTTCAACACCAGAAATTTCAATCAACTTGTTGCACTTATGTTTCTTTACTTTTTCTATTTTAAGTTTACAGAACGTTACGTCGTCTTTTTTATTCGTCGTAATCGTCGTTGATTTTTTAGCAAATTTAAATATTTTCTCTTTTTACTCATATATAATTGCAGTTATGCAATGTGAAAGTGTAAACTTTTTTAAAAAAGTTAAAAGTTTTTTAAAAAAGTTTACACTTTCACATTGCATAACTACGATTTTCCCAAATCTGTAGTGAATTCGTCTATATTTCCATTTGTCAATCCACAACATAAGAACCATTATTTTTTTTTAAAATTAATTTTACTTTTGCAACTCTTTCGATTTGACATTTTTTTATTAGTTTAGATTTTACTCAAAATCTTTCTGACTTTAATTTATTCTTTTTGTTTCTAGAAAGAACCTTTAATGTACTTGTAATAGAATGGAACTATAAAAATAAAAAAATTACAAATCATCAACCAATTACAAAATGTGAGCAAAAAATTTAAAATGAGACAAAAATTTCAAATTTACTAATTTAAAAAAAAAGTACTAATTTGAAGCTATTTCTTACACTTGCAAAAAAACGTGTACACATAAATGCTAGGTCTGTCTGGGATAGAAGAAACAATGACGAAATTTCTTGAAAAAGAAAAAAAATTCTCATTTAAAAAAAAAATTTGGGAGACGAGAACGACTCTACCAACCTCCTAGTGGTTCTCCGTAGAAAGTGTTTATCAGGTTAATGGGCAGTTCATGCAGGGAGTAAGGTGTGGGTCATGTTCAGTAAGACCGATACCATAGCTATCTAGGCTTATGCGATCATTTCCGCTCTTTGAAGTAGTTGCAAATACAGAAGCGTCTGTCCCAGAATGAGCGGCTCCCTGGTCTGCATCTGACCCCAGAGGGACTGCAGTTCAATTTTCCTGGCAGAAGATATGCAACAAACAATAACAAAGATGTTAACAACAAAAAAAATCGGATGCAGTCAGCGCATAACCGACCGCAATGTGTATTGTCTAGTTAAGTGAAAGTGTTACGGAATATTATAAAAACGACTGTTAAATACTATAAACGACTGTAAATTTGGCTCTTAGTAGATTTTCGCTTTGTGCTACCCGAATGCCCTTAAATGTTCGCCAGTTAGTTTCTGTAACAATAAGAACTCAAATATCAAATTTCAAGAAATTCCATCTATCCGTTCCGTAGATATGGTAAAAAATGTAAAATCGGCCTACAGAGAACCTGGAAAGTCACCAAATGAGGCTAAATTATATGAGCCTATTTCACTTCTACGAATTATCTCTAAATTGTTTGAAAAAATTCTATTAAGGAGATTGAAGCCGATCATTGAAAGCAGAAACGTTATTCCTAGCCACCAGTTCGGCTTCAGAGAAAAACATTATACTCGTACAATTGACCAAATTCATCGTATCCAGATGTAAGCGAACAGTGCCTTGAAGAAAAGAAAGTTTGTTCTGCTTTATTTTTAGATGGATCTCAGGCTTTTGACAAAGTTTGGCACGGGGGCCTGCTGCGAAAACTTAATAGTTACCTGCCAAAGCAGTATGTTAATATTTTGGCTTCATATCTTACAGACAGACTCTTCAGAATAAAGGTTGAGGATGATTTTTCAGAATTGAAAATTATCGAAGCAGGCGTTTCCCCAGGTAGCATCCTGGGACCTGTCCTTTACTTGCTATGTACAAGAGACTTATCTGCTTTAGAAAATGTAGTTACAGCAACTTTCACTGATGAAACAGCGTTTTTGGCCGTTGGTTCTGATCCAGCCGAAGCAATAAACAAACTAAAAAGCGGCAGTAATATTGTGCATGATTGGACCAAAAAGTAAATATTAAATTAAATGAGCTCAAATCGACACACATTAATTTTACAAAGAAACATGTGAACCAATTTCAACCCATATAAACACTACAATAGTACTAATACAATCAACAGCAAAATATCTGGGGATGGCATTGGACACTAAGCTGTGCTGGAAAGAGCATGTGAAAATAAAAAAGGTTGACCTAGAATTAAAATATAGCAAACTTTACTGGTTATTAGGCAGATCATCCAAACTATCATTAAAAAACAAAATATTAATATATAACTAAATATTAAAGCCGGTATACGGCATTTAAATTTGGGGATACGCTATGCAAAGCCACATACAGAAAATACAACGTTTTCAAAATAAAGTATTAAGAAATATGGTAGATGCACCTTCGTATGTTCGCAATGGCGAAATACATAGAGATTTAGAGATAAATCTTGTTAAGGACGAAATTGTATTAGCAGCAAAAAAGCACAAAACTAGACTGTAAAATCATGTAAGTGAAGAGGCTAAAAGTCTTTTTAATGATGCTCCTGTTATAAGGAGGTTGAAGCGTACGAAACTGATGGACCTTGTCGGCAGTTAATTTAGTAGATAGCGAGAACATACATAACAGATTCGTTTTGGGAAACCACTGGGTGTAACCAAAAGATATAGGGAAACTAGATTTAAAATTTTCAAAGTTATATTGATGATTGGTCAGTAAGAACCGGTTTCAATTTTTAAAAAATAAAAAAAAAAAGAACAAAAAAATTAACCAGACGGAAAACTTGAAAAAACTTTTAAAAACTTTATGAATATTTACTAAACATAAACAAATATTTTTTGGTTGTGCTTAGAACCGAAAATTTTGAATTTGAATTTTACCATTACAAATAAAGTTGGGTCAAACCAATGGTTTGTATTGTAGCACTTTTCCCTTCAACAAGTGAAAATTCTGCTTTTAAATACAGTCTATGTATACCTATCACACTATTAAAATTATTTTCATTCATAAACCAAACTATTTCTAGAACTGCATATATTTTGAATGAACGATTTATGCAGTCTTTAAAATAAAGCAAAAATTAATATAAAGAGGGGTTAACATAATGCTCGATTTTAAGGGTTAATTGTGTGAGTTAAGAAAAATAATTATATTTTTTAATGTTACGGAATTTACCGCTAGCTTTTTATGTTTATAGAAATTTGAAAACGTTTGCGGTTTTAGAAATATAAGGCGTCAAAAATTCAAATTTTACAAATTTCAAGAGGCGATAACTTGAGAGGGGGTGGAGATGGAAAAAAATTTTCTTCTAGCGAAATGAACTATTTGTTAATGTGTATAAGCCCCTGAAATTTCAAGCTTCTACAGGCTGGGGTCTAGAATAAAAACGAAATCAAAAATTTGGAAAAAAAAGACTTTAGATAACGGTAAATTTGAACGGCCATTTTGTTTTTCTAAAGTTTAGCTATAGTATATCGCGCTAGGGAAAGCAAGTCGCTGCCTTTATGCGTTTGCAAAATTTCAAAAATGCTTATGGTTTCATTGCAACAAATAGTTAAAAATGGCCATTTTTAAGGTTTTGGGGGGGTATAACTTCTAGAGGGGGGGAGATAGATAAAAATTTTGTTCTACGGAAATAAGTTTCTAGTAAAGATCTTTGTACTTAAAAAATTTCAGCTTTCTATCTTCAAGGGTGTAGAAGTTTTGTAAACAGACACACGGACAGACGGACGGACGGACGGACGGACGGACGGACGGACAGAGTGAAACTAATAAGCACTTTTTTTCAAAATTTTTTTGGAAAAGTGCTAAAAATCAGATTCTTTGTAATGTCATTAAAAAGTTTCATTTGTGAACCCATTTTGGTTATTTTATTTTATTTTTAATTGAAAAGTTTTGAAAAAAATGTTATTGTTGATGAAAATTTTTTTTTTCAAAAATTAAACCTTTTTATATAACGTAAGAATTTAAAAGTTTTTAAAACACTAAATTTTACTTTACAAAATTTTAATCATTGAGAAAATGAGAGTGTCATCATTTTCTCTCATTTTTGTTCAAATAGTATTATCCCAAACGCTTTACTTGCAAAAACTTTATAAAATTTATAAAAAACTTTCTATACCAGACAGACCTACTATATGTTGCAAACAAACATATTGTATGCATTTCATTACAGACATTCATATATATATGTACATATGTGTGTGTATTAATTTGACAAATATTATATTTTGTTAAATAAAATTCTCAATTCTTTTAATTTTAAGTAAATTTTCAAATAACTTTCAAATCTTTTCAATAAAAGAACCTGTTCTTAGAATAGTTAACATACAGGTACAGACCCTAGTAGTCGAACAATTAACACATATTCTAACGTACACTTAATTATGTTTTTTAAAGTCTGACTTTGTGTAGCAATGAGATAAGCTGGTGTTACCTTACCATTTTCCGGTCCGTGTGCAGAATCATGTATATTATGTACAAATAAGTTATGTGTATATATAAATGTGAAGTGTATGTACAATTAAATTATATATTGACTACATTACAGAATATTTTTACTATGTTAGTATACATATGTATGTATGTACATACAGACATATTTAAATTTTATGTAATGCCTGTTCTGACATTTATTAAGATAAGTAAAAATGGTGTAACACACTAATGCTCGTTATGTATCTCTGGAACCATACAATGAAGAGTTATCTAATGATAACCTAACTCTTCTATGATTCCGAAGCTATAAGCATTTATTTATTTGCAGGAAAAGTCCGGTACCTTTTTTTTCAACAGGCTGTAGTTCGAAAACGAGTATATCTAGTACGAGTATATTGATTCAGCATATTGATAAACTTATGTATGTATGGATATTCTTACATTTTTTTTAAATTTTATTTTCTCTTGTTACAACAATATTATCTAGAACTCGTTTACGATATTTCTCGAAAATGGTATAAGTATGTACATTAGTACATGCGTATGCACTACAATTTCTTGAACTTGAAATTAAAAATAAAATTAAAAAAAATAAACTACTTGCTTTAAGGGAAGGTTGTTGCATTTGTAAAAATGTTGCTATTCCATTTCTAACTCGATTTTTTACTCCTCTAACCGTTCCTTTTGTGCTGCGTATGGTAGACGCTGTACAATTAATATCCGTATACCCAGCAAAACTCTCGTCTCTTAAGCATTTTAAATGATCCGCATCTGAATTCGATGATAAAAGTGGTGTTGTAGCAGCATTAATCAATGTATTTTCATTTAAATGAAAATTGTAAAATTGATCACATTCATACGAAAACGGTGAAATTTTTTCAGATAAAAATTTCTTTAGCTCCATTGATAAAGAAGATGGCATCACAGAAGATGTTTCTTGTGTTTCATTTTGAATATCTTTAACAGTTACATATTCTTGATTTTTGTTTTCTAAATTTTCCACTGAATTTTTATTAACATAATTTAAATTTGTTTTTGTTGTGAATTTTCCCGTTGGTTTTTCCACATTAAGTACTATGCTATTATTATCGACGTTATCCTTGAAATTTTTTGCATCTTGAAAATTATTTTTCCTCTCTCTTATATCTTTTAATAGAGAATGAGGAAGAAATAATGTTTTTGATGATGACGATAATAAATTTGGATTACTTGTCCATGACGATACTCGTGAATTTGCTGTGATATTTAAAGAATCTGAACTCAGACTGGATTCACTTTCTTCACTATCGGTTAGACTGCCAGATCTTTGTTGATTTTCGTGGTTAGTTCGTTTTCTATTAGACTTTTGAATAATCTTATTTACATTATCAATTTTCTTAGTTAAATTTGAATCCGTATCAACTTTAATTTTTGTAGACGCTATAGGTATACCTTTTTTATTTAATTTATTTAAATTCATTGCACTAAAGAACCTATTTTGACCTTTGTAAGCCACAATTGAATTGTTTGTACTATCATTCTTTTTATCAATATTATTGTAACAAAAATATGATGAAGTATTGTCCTCATTATTTAAATTTTCGCTACTGGAATAATTATTATTACAATTATTGTTAATGCTATTGGTACTGTTATGGTTGTTACGAGAAAAACTACTGTTATTATTAGTTAAATTTGGAATTGGTTCACTAAAATTGTTTTTAATTTGATGTACCATTTCGTTTATTTTTTTGTAAATAATTCTTTTTTAAAATAACAAATGTGTTTGATATATTTTCACTTTTTCTAATAGTACAATCAGATAGTTTTGTCTTTCTAAAGTATACTTTCTTTTTCAAACTAACGCAAAAATATTTCTCAAAAATATCATACATATATATCACATAAGTATGTATCATATACATATATATAAGTTGTTTACGTACATATGTAACAGTATTTGTAAACTATGTATATAGGTTGGCATGTAAAAAATTTTATTTTTTTCCTGCAAAACTTTTCACTCTTTTGCTTACAGTTTAATAGTTTTTACGGTCAAGATTCTTTTTCTTTCACTTCTTTTTTACAATTGAAAAAATTTACATAAACGGAATAAAAAGCATTTAAAATAAAATCTTGGTGAATTGCATTTTTTTAGTCAAATAGTAATCGCATATAAAAGTAGACTGATTTTCTTTTAAAATTTGTTAACCAACATTACTGAAATCACAGCAGTTTTATTAATATAAGTAAGTATAGGTAATAACAAGTTTTCTTTCTTCTTAATATACTTATGTATCTACAATTCAATGGTGGGGCAAAATACCGTTTTTTGTAGCGTTTTAGCTTATTATTTTTTGATTTTCAGTTTTTGTTTTCTTTAATTTGTCGTTAAAATATGTATGTACACATACAATATACATATATTTACATGTAACCACTACCAGTATAAGTATATTCATATGCAGATACATACATGCAAACATACATTTTATTAAGCATTCTTGAACTATGTAAGAAAATATTTTCCCGAACCGAACTTACGTACATATATGTATAGTCTAAACGAACCTGTTAATTTAACCAACTGAATTTATTCATATCTGTATTATTTATCAGGTTGCTGCAAATTTTATATATTTTTGGTAACTGACTTTTACTGCCTCCTGTATCTTATATACGGTCTTATTGGGGAAACATAAATGTATGTACATGTTATTGGTAGCATAAGTACATACATATGTATATTCGTATATTTACATAAGTATGTATAAATTATATTTTTACACATATACAAGATGTTACGCATAAGGTGGCACATAATTTCAAGGATGATTTGATAATTTCTAGAAAAAAATGGCATAACTAGAGAGCTGCAGATATATTCGTTTTGGTTATAATCCGAAAAGACATAAATTACAAAATCATATAATATATTTATGTAGATATGCTGGTGTCGTTTACTTTCCCTTTTAAAAATTCTTTGCTTGAAGCTTCCAACTTTGTCTAAAGGGAAGTTAGTCAAGTAATAAGCAACTTTCTAATAAGTATGTACTTGAAAAAGTAGAAATTTCGGGAAAATTCGTTAAAATCCCTGCATTCTGGAAGCTGCTGAGATTTGACGACAGCTACTTCAAAAAAAAAACTTTACCTATTTTACCCAAACGATGGTAAACGTTAAAACACTAATTACTAAACCATCCTGTGCACTTATCTAAGTTAGCCACCCAAATCTTTATCAATCATGATTGTTCAAAAATTTGTTGATCATGCAAAAAATGGGCGCCAACCAAAACTGCAAAATTTTTACGCAGAATATGCAATTTACTTTTTGTTAAAAATTTTGGTAAATAATTATATAACATAGACTGTCAATTCTAGTGTAATTCTGTGTACCTTCAATTGCAAAAAAAAATAATTTTCCACTTACATTTTGATGTTTCTCTCCTATTCGTTTTTCAATGCATAACTGAAATCTTGGTCTGCAAAAATGCCAAGTTGGCGTAAATTTCGCTTGTTTTTGTCATAATGGTACAAAGTTAAAAATCCAGATTGTACCAAAATTAAGAACGTCAAATTGGGAATGATTTTTATCATAAAATCCGTGACCTCAATAATGCGCTTGCAACGTAAACTTTACAAAGTATCACTTTCCACAAAGTTTAGTAAAAGCTGTTGACATTGTACACTTTTCCTAAATGCGTTTATACGTACTGGACACGTAAAAAAAAGTAAATCGGGTATCGGAAAAATCGAGCACGCTTTTTTTATACATGTCATATAAACGTTGCCAGAATAAACCAATTAAATAAACTAGTATATATTTTCAGCAATCAAGTGCTAGTTATTAAGTTTTTTCCTAAAATGCAGCATAAAAATGCTATGTTTTTAATGATGTGGCAACGTTTGTTAAAAATTAAAATTTGCATAGAACTTTAAATTGAAAACTTCAAGGTATGTATTAATATTGTAAAGGTTGTGTTCCATCAAAACTTCCATCAAATGTAAAGGTATTGAAAGTTCTGAGGCGGATGTACATTCGTATTAATACCGTACTTAAACTTTTTAGAAAGCATTGTTGAAGTCACGGATATTAAACGACTTTTTGAAAGTGTGGCTAATTTTAAAATTCAAGTGATTTGGGTAATGTAATGATAGAGTTTACCCTGGTTAGTATAAAGCCACCGTGTAGAGAGGGCAACTCTCATTTTCCTTTTATGGATTTAAAAAAAATGTATCTAGAGTTTATATGAAGAAAAAATTATCTCTGTCCTTTTGTGTTTTAAGTTATTTACATCTAAAAATACCTAAAAAAATTTTTATAAAAATAAATAATTAATAATTTATAAAAAAAACTAAAAAGGGAAGTTTTAATTCAAAAAACATTTTAATTAAAAATATATTTTTTAAAATTTATAAAAATTCAATCGATACCTACACAGCTTCCTCATTGTCATTTAAAGGGGTACAGAGTTAAATTACGCAAAAAAATTAAAATAAACTTTAAATTGAAAAATTTTTATTGATTAAATTCACCAAAATCTATTTTCCTTTTATTACAAAACTTTACTGAAACCACCTTTATATTGAAAAAAAATTTTGGGTATTTCAAATAACCAGTGCAAACATATAAGAATTAATGCAAAATATCTTCGACAAATTAAAAGTGTGGAATGGGCAAGTTCACGCTTTTAATTTGTCGGAGTTGTTTAAAAGTTGTTTAAAAAATTCAAAATATCTTTGACAAATAAAAGTGTTAACGAAAAATAAAAGTGTAAATGATAAAAAATGTACACTCGGAAATCATAGGATGTCTAAAGTTCTAAAGCAATATTAAAATTTTATTTATGCTACGAAATAAGAAAGAAATCATAGTATAGAAATAATTTTTTGTTAAAGAAATCTGCAAAAGTAAAATTTTTAATTATTTAAGATTTATAACTATACAAAAAATATTTTTAAGATTTCAAAAAAGAGCTATTTAATACCTTTAATTGCTCCTTTCCACGATATGCCAATTTCGACCAATTTTTTTTAAATCAAAAAGCTTGGCGACATTGGTTACGATTTTAATATTCCTTTCTTATATTGATAAATATAAAAAAAAAAAAAAAATATTCAAATCAAAAAAAGAAAATTTAAATAAAAAATTAGAAAATTTCTGTTTAATATATTAATGTGGATAAATAGTTTATATAACTTATAAAAAAAGTGTTATTGTGTGTTAAATAAAAAAAATAAATAAATATGCGCTATAAATGTTGTATTCCATATAGAATTGGACAAACATTGTCAAAACATATATTTCGTAGTCCAAGAAAAAACATTGAATTTTTTAATAAATAGGATTCCAGGAATACCCAAAGAATGGAGTGACCTGGAAATATATGAAAATTTAAGTAAAAAACTAACTTTAAACGGGGACTCATATCCCACTCTGCATATTCCAGTTAATATACATATTTACATACATAGTTGATAATTGCTAATTCAAATCAAAAATAAATTTTTCCTGTTGTAGAAATACTAGAAAATGAAAATAAAGATCTGGAATCAGATGCACCTGTATTAAGTAAAAATAGTATTTCTAAATAATAATTTAAAAAATATGAAATAATATTTTATATGCATAACAATTATTATACGTTAATATTTGTGTTTTCTCCTAATTTACTTTAAGTGAAAGAAAACTGTGTTATACAACAAAATTATTTGCCAAAAAATCCAAGTCCAAGAGATACAATAACACTTCAAACATATAATATAAAATAATAATATGTATATTAACATGTATTTGAATCTACCGAAACTATTTTCTATGCCGTAAAAACCAATATAATTCAAAAGAAAATGTTGAAAGGAAAAAATAAGAAAGTAATAAACGAGTTAATCATACTAAGTAAAATTAAGTGCGATTCTAAATTAAAATTAAAACGAATTAAGGAAATTTTAAAACGTAAAAAATTTGGTAATAAACATTAAAAAAAACAAAAAAAAATAAATAAAATTAAAAACTCATTGTAAATTTTCTGTTTTATTTATAAAAATTATTAAAAAAATTTTTTTAAAAAAAAAGCTCAATATATGTAAATAAATATTAAAAGCAGGATTTATACTCGTATTTATTTTTTTGAACCATAATAGGTTCAAATCCATACCAGTGTTCCCGTTTTGACACCTTTGTGCATAAAATTGCTCTTTTTAAGATATTATGCACCTTTTTTTTGACCCTTTTTTTTAAACTTAAAAAAAATCATGTTCTTACACTTGCCTAACAAATATTGCAAAACTGATTTTTGCAATTCTTGCAAATAAGTTTTCAGAAAAATATATCAATATAAGCGACGCGTAATTTAATACTGGACTGTTTACGCGATTTATATTATGTTTATGATTTATCAGTTTTTAACAAATACATCGAGTCTCAAATTTTGATTTGACATTTTTTATTTGAATTTTGATTTCATTTAAATATGTACCTGACACTTAATTAAAGTTTGTTTCTTTTATAAATATGTAAAGTAAATTGTAAGTTATTTTACGAGATAGAAAATTCTTCAAAAGTCAGATTTTTGAAATAAATAAAGTAAAGTTTCAAAAAAAATTAAGAAAACTTGACATTCTTTACTTAAAACAACAAAACTTTTGAAGAATATCTTATCGCGTCTCGTCATACGTCTTACAGAAAGTGGGTGATAATCTTTGAATAATTTTTTTAAAATATAAGTTTTTCTGAAAATAATGGCATTGTTTTTTCTTGCAAGCAATTAAAACAAAAAAAGATATACATTTAGATATTTAATTAGCTTAGCTTAATTTCACAAATTAATTGCAAAAGTAAAATTCTGCACTTTTTTTTTTGGAAACTGTACATTTTTTTTCAGTTTCACACTTTTATAATCCGAAATCAAAACTTTCGTTTTTTGGTATAACCAAAAAATATTTGTTTATGGTTGATAAATACATTGAAATTTGACATTTATCACCTATTTATAAAGTTTTTAAAAGTTTTTTTCAAGTTTTCTGTCTGTTTTACTTTTTTTTAAGTGAGATTTTTTTTTCTTTTTGAGAGAAATTTCGCCATTGTCTCTCTTTTTAAAGTTTTCGCAAGTTTTATCCCAGATAAAATTATCTCAGACAGACCAATATATTAGGTCTGTCTGGTATAAGAAAGTTTTTTAAAAACTTTATAAAGTTTTGCGTGTAAAGCGTTTGGGATAATATTTTTTGAACGAAAATGAGAGAAAATGATGACGTTTTTATTTTCTCAATGTTTAAAGTTTTTTCAAGTTTTGTAAAGTAAAATAATGTGTTTTAAAAACTTTTCTTATGACTTTCGAAACATACATACTCGTATGTTTTTCTTGGTTAGAAGCTTTTATTTTTGAAAAAAAAATCATCAACAATAATATTTTTTTCAAAACTTTTTATTTAAAAATAAAATAAACAAGTAAATCGAGAAATTTCGAGTTTTGCAAAAATAAAAATCCAACAAAAAAAAAAAAACAAAATTTTTGACTTTAATGAGTTGTATCTCACAAACTATGGCTCAAATCGAATTAATTATAGAAAGAAAAATAAATAACAATCAATTGCCTGCAAAACATATCAAGATACACTAAGTCTTCGAGATACGACATTTTTGGTTCCAGAAATTTATGTCGTAACTCGAATTGTCGTTTGAGGAGGAAAAAAAATGTATGGAAACAAAAAGTGAACTAGACAAACTGTTTTATAAAATAATTGATCTTTTTTTTTTAAAAAAGGTAACAAAGTTTGAAAAAAAAACAACAAAATATAATAACAAAACCAAAAAAATTCAATTTTGTAACAAAAATAAATAAAATAAAATCTGATTAGGTTGATATTTTATCACTTCAATTCATATACTTAACTACTAACTAGAATTTTTAACAAAAAAGAATTCATTATGAAGTATGTGCTTTAATTTTGTCTTATAACTAGATTCGGTATAGATTTTTATTCAAAAAACAGTAAAATCTGTCAAAAAAACAATTTTTTTTTTAAATTTTCAATGTCGCATTAGGAACAATGTCGTAAGCCGAATAAAAGTGATCCAAATTTATATCATGTCGTAACTCGAAATGTCGTATTAGAAGATGTCGTATCTCGAGGACTTAGTGTATAAGCATTTATTTACATGCAGGAAAGCTCAGACTGTTGCTCGAAAACAAGTGTATCTGCACTTCCTACCACCCATACCATTTTTAGCTTGAAATTGATCAAAGAATTATTCTTGAAATTATTTGCCGCCTTATGTGAAACACCCTGTATAGTTTTTAAAAATTTTTTCGAGTTTTCCGTCTGGTTTATTTTTTTTTTAATGAGAATTTTTTCCTTTTTATTGAGAATTTCGTCATTTTTTCTTTTTAAAGTTTTTTCAAGTTTAATCCAAAACAGACCTATTATCTATGCTAATTTCTCCTATAATATACGAAAATAAAAATAAAAAAATGTTAAGCAAACAAAAAGGGCTTACGTCTTCAATAGTTTTTTTTCAAACTTAAAAATAATTTCTATGGAAACTAAATTGAGAAAAAACATACAAATCAGAGCGAAGTTGACACGATGAAGCAGTTCGGAAAATTTTTTTAATACCATAGCCTTATACTACCAGGGCTATAATAGAGTCAATATCTAAAGCAATGAACTAGTATCGTTCGTTTCAGTGATTCGTTCTGAACGAACTACTTTTTTTCACTGACCGATTATAAAATCTCGTTCAATCGTTCATTTCGTTCACTTCCTTTCTGTATATATATTGGCATACTCTCTTGTTATAATTATATGGCTATTCTTATTTATGGTAAATTTTAAAGAAAGAGTATGTAATGGGTTTGTAAATTAGTAATAAGTTTTGAACCACAAAATGTCTCTACTTATATAAACCAAAAAGTTAAAAACTTACTTAAAAAGCTGTTATAAGAAATTATAAGTAATTTTTTTAATTTGAAGAAATAAAAATTTTAAACCATTTGAATTTAAATTTATTATTCCTTATCAAAAATTTATAGAATAAAAATAATCAATTATCTTTATTTTTAAAAACTGGTATCCTCTTCTAAATTTTTTAAACTTTTGTTTAATTTACTTTAATATTTTATTTAAATCGCTAATGCGTTAGAATGTTAATTTATAATAATTAATTTTTTTAAGTTTTTTTTTATTTAGAATATTTTATAAAAATATAAAAATATTTAGGTAAAAAAGTGATTACAGTTATTACGCTTTTTTAAATATTTTATGCATAAATATAAGACATACGGTAGCCCAGTTAAAGGCTTCCTCTATTATGTTATCTTCCTTTATTAATTTTATTTTTTTATGTAAATATGTTATGTAGTTTTTTCAAAAACAATTTTGTTATGTATTTACTATTTTGGTTTTAGCTGAAAAATATTTTGTTACCTGTAATTTATTATAATGCAATTTGTTACCTGTAAGAAGTAACTAGTTTGAAAGAACAAGAAATTTAATTTTCTTAATACTTAAACGAAATAAAATGATTTCTTCATATTTTTTGTAATCATTTTTTAATTTTCAAACATCCCAAACCACCACGAACCTTTTAAATTTATTCGAATATACTTAATATAAGAATATATTTCTTGACAAAAAGTATAATGACCAACTTTGAATACACCGTAAGTATGTATTAGTAAATTGAAGTAATTTTTTTAATAACTAAAAAAGAAAATTGGAATTTTTAGTGAACGATGAACGATTCATTCTTGAAAAAGTGAACTAATCAGCTAAATTCATGAAGTGATTCGTTCTTTACGAATAATTCGTTCGCGAACGACACGTGACTACAATGAACATTTGCAAAAATCATTTCGTCGTTATGTGACATTTTTTCAAAAAAAGTCCTTATGTAATTTTGTCATTTAAAAAAAGTGCGTAATGTCTAATATTGACATAGATAATTTGACAATTATTTTGCAGATTTGTATGCATTCGCACCGAATTTGACAACTAATTTTTTTGATTTAATATTAAAATTGTAACTACTCGAAAAATATTTCCGAGGTTTTTCAGCACAACCATTTAATTTTTCATTTCCGTTTCTTGAAATTATAAACTTCTTAATTCTTATTATAAACATATGTAATTATTGAGAGAGCAATGGATTTTGCCAATCTAATTTAACTAATAGTCATCATCAAATTATCCTTCATAGACCTACACAAATGTTCGTATAAAAATGATAACTTTTGAGAGATTGACAATAGGAAATTTTTTCCCTCTTAGTTGGAAGTACACGCAAAAATTTCCCGATGAATTTAATAGGTGTTTTTAATTTTTAGTAGGTAAGTTAATTTATATTGGTTTTACATATCATATTTCCTGAAACGTGCATAAAAGAAGTGAAAATATAATACTTTTCAGAAGATTAAAAATTTTAGCATAACAATCCAAGGAAGTGAAAAAATGGAAGGAGCCACTACTATTTTTTGTTCTTTTGGGTACACTCTATCCAGTTCTCTGGAGTATCATCAAGTTTTAACGTCTCTACTTATTCTTTATATGTAAAAAGTCGTTCTTCTACTGCCAATCTCAATTTCATGTTTTTTGGATGGATTACAACATACTTGCTTCCACAATAGAATTTTTGTAGTAAACAATGATATTTAATTGATTTGTCATGAATTATATTACATATATATTAAAATAGTTCTTTAAGTAAATAATTTTTATTTAACATTTAATTATAAATAGTACACTGTTGTCTTTACATACATATTCACAACTAACACAATTTACCTTACATTAGATATTTTATCAAGAATATGAACAATATACATTAATAAATTTCAACGCAAATCAATACACCACATCAATATATTTAATATACATAATATTATTTTAGATTCTTTTAACATATTTCTACGTAGTTATAAATTAATTTTATTTGGACATCGTTTTATTCCAGGTACCTAAAATAAAAAAAAGTTTAATAAATATGCATGTACATATTTGTACATTAAGAATTTAAGTTTAAAATTATTTAAAATTTAAAAATAATTATGAAATTGTAAAAGAACTACGATTATTATAGCGTTTTTTTATAATTTAAAAGAGCCGTTTTAGTATTTCCTTATTAAAAAGGCGAAAATTATTAAAGATCAAACTATAAAAATATTAACACTATTAATGTTAAAGAAACGTTAGCATCACCGTAAGCACCTATAATGTAATGAGAATAAAGATGGCTGTGGAACTACTTAACACGGTTTATATTTTAAGTTTACAATTTTCTAGGAAATTAAAAAAAAAAACTAACTTAAAACCAATTTTTTGCATAGCAAAATCGAAATGAAAATAGGCAAAAATCATCATTTTTCCAAAAAAACAAGAAAAAAAGATTCTTCAGAAATGTCATTTCGCCAAAAATCCATATGCAATTTTACAAAATATTCACAAAAAAAGCAGGCCTTGACTTTTTGTAATGTCAAGGTTCGAGCGAAAATTTTTAAAATGTTCAATTCTAATATATATGTACATATATACATAAATTATAATGAATAAATTTAATATTTTGTTTATGCTTAAACCTTTTCTTTATTTGAAAAATTTATTTCTGTATATTTTGAATATTACGCTTCGTTAGGAGCTCTTAAAAAAATAGGTACACATTCATAATTATGCATGTACGTATTTATTGTATTGTTTTAACATAAACTCCTATGGCTATAATATAAAGATGTATGTGGTTTGAACGACAAATTTGAAAATTTTCAATTCTAATATATACAAATATACATACTTGTATAATATAATTTCTTGTTTAAAATTTAATTTTAATTTAAATTTAGTGAATAATTATATTCATTTTTTGTGTTATTAAATAAAATGAAGATTTATAATTTATATTAACTAAATTTTGTCCTTTGTTCCTAATATTTAGATTTTAGAATAAAACAAAGGTTAATTTGAAAAAATAGTAATAAAGTTTATTTAAAAAGAAAAAATGATTTAAATATAAGATTCGGTGTACTTTTTAAAGTTTCTATTGTAATAACATTTAAATAGAAAAGGAGAAAAGGAGAACGTAAATGCTATATTTACATTTACTTTGCCAAAGAACGAGGTCATCAGGGATAAATGTATACAAGCATTAGGAAAAACCATAAATGACAGATATCCTTAGATAGCTAACTTAGAACAAATCGCTGAAATCTGACATTTTCATGATTTTAGTTCTTCTTACAATAAAGAGTGGCGCTAATAGTACTCTTTTTCAAATTTAAAGTTGTTATTTTTTTTGTTGCGTTTCTTAGGTTACCTTTTCTTTTAGAAAGTTTTCGTTGTTGTCGTTGGTTATATTTTGAATGAAGTTTTGTGAAATTTAAATAAAATAATATGAACAGTGTAAAAATTGAATTAAAATAATAAATTAAGTATTATATTCACTTATATTTATATAAGTGAATATAAGAATATTTAAAAAATATTTAGACAATGGGTGTTATTTCGTGTTGTGTGCCTTTCTGTAAAGACAAAATAAGTAAAAGACATAGATTCCCCAATCCAAATAAAAATATTGAAAATTATTTAAAATGGAAATGTTTATTTCCAAAAACAATATTTAAAAATCATAGTGATGATTATATTTATAAAAATTTAAGAGTTTGTGCAGTACACTTTGAACCAAATTGTTATTCAATTGGGTATTCAAAATTAAATTATGATGCTTTTCCAACTGCATTTATACCAGGTGAGTGAATTTTTTGTTATTATTAATGTACCTTATTAATAAATAATAATATTTATTTGAGTAGAAATACTTGAAGATGATATTGATGACCCGGTATTACAATTTGATAAGCAAGTAATGCAAGTTGATGACCCAGTAATACAAATTGATAATTCAACTATTGCAGAACCATGTAAGTAAAAATTTTTCGTATCTACTAACTTTATAAATGCAGTTTGAAAATTACTTACCTTTTTAATTACCATATTTGCCTTTAGTCGTGATATTTATTTTAATGAGACTATTCCTCATAACTTTTTACCTAATTATTTTTATACTTTTTCTGTAGTAAATATACTCTTTATACTTTTTCAGTTATTGATTCATCTTCAGGAACTTCTAAGAAACCTGAAAAGACCTCTGTTTCAATTAAAATAAACAAACAAGTTCGTTTATTAGAAACAGAACTTCAAAAAATTAAAATTTTAAGAGAAAAGGGAAAGGCAAAATTGTTCGAATTGAGAAAAACTCTTAATTCCAAGCATTTCACTGCTTTGAGCAACAATTTATCTCCTAATGTTGTTAACTTCATAGTAAGTCAAATTAAATGCTCAAAAGTGAAAGCGAAAGGTCGCCGTTTTAACTTGGACGATAAAATTTTGGTTCTATCAATGATGAAGCAAAGTCCAAAAACTTATAGATTTCTTCGAAAAATATTTCATCTACCTTGCAGAGCAACTTTAAATAAAATCATACAAAAAAGCAATATAAAGCCTGGTTTTGATTTTAAGCTTTTTCAGTACCTTGAAGAAGTTGCTAAGGAATTAAAACCAACTCATAAATATTGCAATTTAATGTTTGACGAAATTAATCTTACAGCTCATTTGGACTTTGATAGTTCTGCCGATAAGATTATTGGATTTGAAGATTACGGTAATGATGAAACAACAAAAAAAATTGTCGACCATGCTATTGTTTTTATGCTGCGTGGGGTTGTAAAAAAATGGAAGCAACCGGTTATGTATTATTTGGTTAACTCAACATGCCCATCCAATAAAATTGTAACCGCAATTACAACTATTATAAACACAGCACAAAAAGCTGGATTAGAAGTTGTTTCAACAGTTTGCGACGGAGGTACAACAAATATAAAAGCAATAAGAACACTAAAAGAAAACTCGAGAATAAGAGCGATGAATTTGGGGAAAGAATTTCGAAGTTGTGGATTTGAAATCAATGGGAAAATCGTAAATCCAATAATTGATCCCCCACATTTAATAAAATTAATACGAAATCATTTTATTGAAAAGAACTTGATTTATAAAAACAAAGATATTACTGTAACAGCCAAATGGGATCATATTAAAAACTTTTATGAAATAGATTCAGGAGTTTCAGGTTTGCGGATGACAAAATTAACTGAACAGCATGTTTTTCAACACTGCCTAAAAAAAATGAAAGTATCTCACTGTGTAAAAGTTTTGAGTGCTACTGTTGGAAAGTTAATGTTGTACACAATTGAAATAGGTTAGTATTCTTTACCTATCCATATTTTTATATTTTACTTATATTTAATATTATTTAAATTTTATTTTATTTAAAAATATTTTAACAGGTAAAAAAGTAAATGAACATGCACATGTGTTGGGAGAAGGTGCAGGAGATACCGCTGCCGCAATTATGTTTTTGGATCGATTATTTGATTCCATGAATGGTAGTTCTTCGAATCCGCCAAGGGGTAAGGAGCTCAGAGGACCATTCGGAGAAGTACAGAAATACTTCTGGGAAAATGAAGCCAAACCCATTTTATGCAGCATGTACTTTACAAGAGCGAATAAAATATTTAAACCACCTTGTATACAAAATTTTATAAAGAATATTGAGAACTTCAAAGAAATAGGGGATAGACTTCAACAAAATGGAATCAAATATATATATTTGCGGAACTTTAACCAAGATCCGTTGGAAAATTTTTTTGGATCAATACGGTCACTAAATTATAGGAATGTAAACCCCAATTCCAAACAGTTCACATGTAATTATAAAACACTTTTGATCAACAACATGACATCAGCTCATTCAGTCGGCTCCAATTGCATGAACGATGAAAATATATCATTAATTCAAAATTTAAAAAATTTTATCAAAGCAGAGAAAACAGAAACAACAAATATAAACGGAGACGAACAGGTACAAAGTCCTCAAACTTTTCAAACAACATCTAAAGTAAAGCTATCACGCATACAATTAATGTTAGAAAAAAAAATTTCTGCCTACGTAGCTGGGTTTGTTGTAAAAAAATTTAAGTCACTTGCTAAAAGTTGTAGTGCATGTAATGACTTTATATTTAGTGATAATAATAATAATAATACTAATTCTGAATTACATGATTATATAGTTGCTAGAGAATTTACTAATAATAACTCACTTATATATCCAAGTAGTCAATTCATTAATAATTTTGTTGTAATTAATAGATTTTTTATAAATAATTTTGCTTCATTATGTAATAAATCAAACATTCGCTTAGTTTTAAAAAATGCTATAACGCCTCTAATGTATTTTACAAATGAATGTCCTATGCATGGTAAAAAAATAATTTCTTTGTACTTATATTATTCCTTAAATGTATTAATAAATAATTATTGTGTTAATATAAACAGGAGGCTGAGCGGTTCGATGAGAAATAAATCGACATGCAGGGACGACTTACAAGTCATGGCAATTGAATTTTATTAAAAAAAATTATTCAAAAACAAAAAAAATTAATAAAAATAAAGATTTGAAATGATTTTTCAAAACAAACACAAACAATATTTTATTATTATAAATTCAAATTGCATTTCAGAAGAAAATAAAAATGAGAAATAATATTTACAAATTTCACCACAGGTGTCACTAAAAATAAAATAGTTTCTCTTACAGAACATACAACGAAATGGCGCTGAGGTCAACATCTTTGAGATGGCTATCTAGGGTTATTTATTATCTATGGGAAAAACGAATTCGACACCACCGCAGTATTTTTAATTTGTAAGAGCTTTAAATTTTATTCTGTTGCCTGTAGCAAATATAATTTAATCAATTACTTAGTAATGTTAAGATTTAAACAATTTAAATAAGTATGTAATTTAATCTCTAATAAAAGAAAATTTTATTTTTTTATGTAAATATGTTATGTAGTTTATTCAAAAACAATTTTGTTATGTATTTACTATTTTGGTTTTAGCTGAAAAATATTTTGTTACCTGTAATTTATCATAATGCAATTTGTTACCTATAACAAGTAACTAGTTTGAAAGAACAAGAAATTTAATTTTGTTAACCAGGCTACGCTGTACCCTAAATTTCCCTTTACAATTCTATATTTTATTTATATTTCGTATGAATAAAATATAGAATTACTTTTCAAAAACCATCCTATTTAGCTGTATATGCTAGCTATATATATACATTATTATATATATATACGGCTACTTCTCAGATGTCAAAAAGTACGCGTACTTCCAGAAGGGCTAGAACACAGAACAAAAGGCAAGGGTTTTGCCCATAGGGTCCCAGAAAAAGCAAGAAAGAAATACACACACCCTCCCCCTTCACCCCTCCCAAGATGCTTTATGACCGAGTTTCACAAAATGGTACTACATCCTGTTGGGGTAATTTTATATTTACTTTTGGTGGTATAAATATATGTAAATTCATATTTGGAAGTGTGAGTTATAACAAGAAGTGAATACTTCCTCAAGAAAATTGTTAAAGTTAATACAATCTACATTGTTTTATCATAAGTATGTAGGTACGCATTTAATTATGCATTCCTTTCGCAATCTTCTGCAAAGTTTATTAGTAAACAAAACAAAAGTGTACATTAAATTTCTTGACAATATATTTTTAAGACGAAATTTTATAAGAAAATGTTGTTCTATTGCATAAAACTTTCTTGGAAAAATATTTAGAACGAAAACTCGTTCATATTGATTTGTAAAGGTAAAGCTTTTTTAATTTCATTTTAACAAAAAAAAATATCAATAAAAGAAAAGTTCATCTGGCAAATCGCATTTATCAGGGTTTGAACCTGGGACTTTTGCATAGAAATCGTATGCTATACGCATTGCTCTACATAATATTAGTATTAACTGATTATACATACATTCACACATTTTATTCGCTTGTATTATAAGATCCAAATACATGCATGCATGCACTTTAGTACCGAATTATGTTATGCGTATACAGTAATTTATCGCTTAAAGTTTTTATTTTTAAAAGTAATTTACGATTTCATGCGATATAACTCAGAGCGAGGTTCTAAAATAAATTACTCCAAAGATATTAGATCTCAAAGGAACTAATTATTTGTTTAATTATGTACTTTTTTGTAATTATTTTTAAGAACTTTTCTTATTTTAAGTTTTATTTTATCATTTATTAGGAATAAAACGTACCTATATGTGAAAACGTACCTAAGTGAACTTAAAATACCTCACACAGAATGGACCACAATTTTAAAACTACAGACGTAATACTTGCAAGGCTTGCAATACAAGCACACACGACTAGCGATATATATGGCTACTTCTGAGGTGTGAAAAAGTACGGATATTTCTAGAAGCGCCAGAGACATGGGGCAAAAGGCATTAGATAAGGTTTTGCGAGAAGGTTCGCAGAAAAAGCAAGAAATTCCGACCACTCTGTCCCATTACTAACTCTCAAGATGCTTTGCGAACACTTTTTACATAATGGTACATCTTATGGAAGTAATTTTTATTTACTTTTGGTAGTACAAATTTTGTATACAAAATAAATTTTTGGAATTGTGACTGATAACAAGAAGTGAACACTTTCTCAAGAAAATTGTTAAAGTTAATACAATTTATAATATATATAAAAGAATGTAGATGTACGAGTATGTAGGTATGCATTTAGTTATGTATTCTTTTCGCGATCTGCTGTAAAATGTATTAGTAAGCAAAACATAAGTGTACATTAAATTTCTTGACAATATATTTTTAAGACGAAATTTTATAAGAAAATGTTGTTCTATTGCATAAAACTTTCTTGGAAAAATATTTAGAACGAAAGCTCGTTCATATTGATTTGTAAAGGTAAAGCTTTTTTAATTTCATTTTAACAAAAAAAAATATCAATAAAAGAAAAGTTCATCTGGCAAATCGCATTTATCAGGGTTTGAACCTGGGACTTTTGCATAGAAATCGTATGCTATACGCATTGCCCTACATAATATTAGTATTAACTGATTATACATTCACACATTTTATTCGCTTGTATTATAAGATCCAAATACATGCATGCATGCACTTTAGTACCGAATTATGTTATGCGTATACAGTAATTTATCGCTTAAAGTTTTTATTTTTAAAAGTAATTTACGATTTCATGCGATATAA